CCGTCGGGTAAAGTGTAGGGAAAAGTATGTGGAACTTGGCAACAAACAGCATGTAAATTTAAAGAGAGCTTTATCAAACTTCTGAAAGTAGTTTGCTTGTGTATATCACAAGGACAGAGATCGCATGTATCGTTTGGGTGCACACCGATCAATTTTAATATAATTTTCCAAGTACCACAATCTGGCGCTCGTTTGAAGCGACAAACGAGATAGGAACGTGGAACGTTCGATCGCTAATTAAATATGAATTTCATCTATATTTCATTTTCCCCTCCGTGAATTTTAATTCAACGTGTAATGAACGTTAAATAAACGCGAAATCGAGCGGATAAAATGGTGGAGAATTTCTATAGTTATAGAGATTCGCATAAATGATTTCAAGTAAGACAGATTTAGTATTTCGAATAGCATTTCGGTAATTAATACGATGAAACATTGAAATCGATTTCGTCGATAGAACCGTGTGTCGCCGAATTCGTATCGTTATCTCGATATTTGTCGAATTATACGAATTGGCATCGTGTACGATCGTAATGTACAAACAATTTTATTAAATCGAACTTTCCATAACCTGGATTAACCTTTCTCTAAATTTATATTTATCGATGAATATTCTCGAATAACATGAAAAGAAATTAATATAATTCATCATAAATGAAAAAAAGCCTCGTATATCTTTACTTTAGACGCTTTATCGACAATGACGTTACTTATTACATAGTAAGTAATAGAAGAATAATTTGAATATTCAAAATCGTAAAAATTATTTTCATTTTCATAAAGTTAGGTTAGGATAATCATCCAAGTTAGAAGCTGAAATATTTTCGAAACTATTTCTAACTTATTTGTATACTCGAATACAAAATTATATCTATAAATCAATCAAATTATCGTTATCATTAATCGTAATTAGCCTATTGATGAGAAATAAAAAAATTTTTGTATTACATCGATACGTTAGAATTCTCTAGATTCTATCCTACGTTACACATTTAGATATAGATCGTTGCTCTGGATTAGTATATGTGACAAATACCACGGTAGAAAGAAAAATGCGTGTGAAAATAGGCGTTCCTTTCACATTCATTAACCAATCAGAGAGAGACTTCTTTTCACCAGTGAAGTATACTATAGATTGTACCATATGAAGTTGCCACTTTCAGAATAAATCGATACAATCGATTGCGACTTGTAAACTCTACTTAATCTATATTTTGCTTAGCATATTTTGACGTTATCCTCTTACATTTCTTTTGTGTAATAAATTCTTTTTTGTATTAGTTTAACTGTTTTGTAAGAAGTGAACGAATTTAGAATATTATTTCTGTATGAGTTTAAACTGGCTCACAATGCAATCGAAGCATATCGAAATATTAGGTTAGCTTTTGGAGAAAATTCTATCGATAAGAGGAATTGTTTGGTAGTGGTTTCAAAAATTCAACATTCTATTGCCAAGAAATCGATTAAGAAACAAATCGCATTAATCAATAGAGATGGATCTATTCTTCTGCATTTGTTTCGCTATTTACATTTATTTTTAAAAAATAAAATATTCGACATTCGAGAAGCTATAACAGCATTCGAAGAATTTCTTCGCGCTAAAACTACAAAATTTTTTAAAAATAAAATACATCAATTTCTATCTAGTTTCGAAAATATATCGTTTTTCTTCCGATTAAGAAAAACCGCAATTTTATTTGATGCGATTTATATATATTTTCTCTTCGCGTTATTCGAGAATATTCATTAATAAACAAATTCCAGGGAGAAAAGTTAATCCACGTTATGGAAAGTTCGCCGGTACTTCTTTTTCGACGCTTGACGTGTTTTTAAACATTTCGTTTGTACGATTGATTGTACAAAGTGTTCTCTCGTTGCGTATCCAGACGCAAGGAAAAATCTCGACATCGGGTCCCCTCGATATCTCAAAAGACTCGGTTAAATCTCGTCGGAAAGAGATAACCGGTTATTTCTTTTTCCTTTTCTTTGTTATTCAACCATGCGTCGAGATGGGCGATTCTGCTCGCTAATTAAGTCAATCTTCGCGTATCTGGAGGATCCTCGGCTATTCTCGTAGCCGTGTTAAACGCGATCCGCCTCTCAAAGTCTGTCATGTCCGCTCTCTGTGTCGGTTCCGGGTTCGGTGAGCATCCGCCCCCACCCTTTGTCCCCGCTGCTTTCCTATTATTTTCCTTTTCCTCGTCCTCGTGTCAATTCCAGTTGAACGGCCGTCGTGTTCACCATCCTATCCATCCGAGCTTCGCCATTTCCCTCACCCTCTCTTCTCTTTTTCTCTCTCTCTGTTTCTCCTCGATTTCGGTGTACGTCGACGCGAAGGCAAAGAGGGACACACATCGGCCTCGGTGGCGATCTCTCGCGTTCTTTCGCTCGTTAACGAGCATAATTCGCTTCCGATGCAATTTCCAGAAACGGGGACGAACGAGAGAAGGGAAGTAAAAACTGGTTCGAAATCTTCTTTCATTTTCTCCGATATGTGCGATTCGCAAAAATTGTCTCTACCTCGCGATCTTTTTCGAGAAATTTCTCCCAGGAAATCGGTAGCGTTGAAGGGATACCCTGCCAAAGCTATGATTAATTTAGATGAATAATCGATATTTTAGATTTGTAAAAGTATTTTTACGCGGTATTTTTGCGGATCATGTCCATGAATGTTGGTGGCGAATTACGAGAATCATTTTATATTGGAATTTTCAAAATTGAAAAACAAACGAGGTGTGTACACGGATGTAAAAAACGAAACGAGTGTAAGACAGATGCAAAGTTGAAGCAAAGTGAAGAAGAAGCGTATTTGGTGCGTCATGTGTATGCGTGAATAGCCGGCATTGAGAAGAAGTTGCAGCTGCGATGCTCGTTCATAAAATGTTGGTTTGTTCGTCACCTTTGATCTTATCCTCGACCGAATTATTTTCTCGAGGCGCGAAAGAGAAAAGATATTTGGAAAATATTAAAGAGGCGCGATCAAAGAGCGAACCAAGTGTTTGTTAACCGTAGCGGATCGTTGTTTGCGCGGTAATTCGATATTATTCGAGCATTATCGTTACAAAATGGACGGATAAACAAATGCAAATGAGAGCGAGCCGCTAATGAGGCGTGCAAGGTTAATCAAATTTCTTGTTCGAGTTGCGCGATCGATCATCGACTCTATATTAATTTGCACGCGTGTTGCGCGAGAGGGGAACCGAGTCGATCGATCAAAATGTCGCCACAAGCTTTCTTTGCTCCTCGGGAGCACGTGGAGAAGGAAAAAGAGAAGGGAAGAATCGAAGAAAAATCGACACTTGAAGTGAGCGCATTTCGTTTCGAATTATCTGTCTCGATCGCTGTATTTAAAATAATCTTGGTGAAGAATAGAAGGAGGAATGAAAAGAGAAGCGTGTGGTGGTTTTTAATGAGATGGCGCGCGGAATGCCTCCTGCAGGAGGCGAGAATAACTAACGCAAATAGAAACGATACCTTCTGTCTCGCGCGAGTCGACAATATCGACAAATATCAGTGAATTCCGTTTTTTCACGCGTTCCAATCCCGTGTAAATTGTGTAACTTGTTGCTTGCCAACTTCGAACGTTCCGTGGTTAATTAATCGCTTCCTTATTTACCGACGGAGTTAGACGACTCGGTTGTTGCCGATAAAGCGTTCGAGAAATTTTAAGGTTTATGCTTCGTTGAAAAATCGGTCGGAGAATTATTGTTCGATGGGAAAAATATGGGATCGATGCAAGATCCCTTTCGATCGAAACAATAATTTATCGCGTATTAGCGATATGGAAAGCGAAACGAAGAGAGATAATGGAGATTGTAATTGTAATCTAGATATCAATTCGCGAAATCACGTTTATATTTGCATCTGTTACAGAGTTCGTATAACGTACTATTATAATTGTAAATTATACGACGATAATCGATTACGGGCCAATTTGAGATTAATTTTGCTAATATTGGCTCTGCCCAATTATCATCGTATTTCTGATTCGATGTAACCCTCGTTGTGCGGTCGACTATTATTTAACGATTATCTTTGGTTAAATATTATTCTGTACATTTATAAGGCAGAAAATTGATTGTAAAAGCGTTGGCAGCCGAGATATTCTTTTTTCTGCAATTCTTTCGACCGATTCAATCGATATTATTCGCGAAAATCATCGAACGAAACAGATATAAATTTCCTTAATTTAATCAACATCTCTGTATTTGCGAAACTCGTTGATCGAGCGTGTAACAAACGTCCATTAATGTCACGACGCAAGTCATATAAATCGTATTTATGCTACGGATGAATTAATTCGCTTCGTTCGATACCTCGATTTTTAATTTTGCATTCGAATTTGTCAAATCTCCTTATCGTTTCTTCGCATTTTTTTTTTTTTTAAACAGTTTGCTTAAAATTTCAAAAACTTTTGATAACTATAGATGTCTAGAATTGGAAAAAAAAAAACTCCTCCTCCTCGTCTTAATCTCTAATCGTTGCAAGTTAATTTTCCATTGTCTTGCCAACGAGCCTCCCAAGCTACAACTAATTGGAAGTTTAATTTAATTACTTCTATATCGAGGCTCGCATAAGCGCCTCGACCAATCCGACTATCGTTACACCTCTTAACCGAAGATAAAAACAAGAATTTCGGTGAAGGAGTGGTTAATTAGCGGCGAGAATAATTTTTTTAAAAAAAAACTGCGTTTATTTAGAGAAAATAATGGTTCTCGATTTATTCTTCTTTTTAACTCTCACGTTACAGAACGTTATAATTTTTCTCGATGCAACTATTATCATTTACGTTTTGCAAAAAAATATTGCAACGATTCAAAGGCTTGATTCTCTTTACTTTTCAAGTAGCTATTATAATTTTTGACGTTTTTTCGACGTATAACTTCAATTCAAATCTCCGATTATTACCACGTTTTGATACGATAAATGATTGAATTTAAATTTTAAATTTTAATCACTGATTCGCATACATCTCTTTTTTCTCTCGTTCTTTCACGAAGATACACGAAGACAGTGGCGGACTCGAGTTTGACGGCGCAGAGGTACAACCCGGAGTTCACCGTGACGACGATGTCGCCGACGACGGCTTCCTACGGCAACGCGAACACCAGCGTGCTCATTGACCAATTGAGGCACATTAATCAGGTGAGTTCCATGCCCAACTGTAATTTGTTCCTCGGCTCAGCCTTGGCTGACCGTGTTTCAATTCTCTCTCGTTCACATCCTGTTTTCCACTTGTGCTCGAATCGGGGAGACACGATCGCCGTCTCTTCAAATTGATCGAAACGTTTATTATCCAGATGCTTGAACCGGGTCGAGAATCGGACTTATCTTCATGCTCGAGAAATTTTCAAAATTAGATTTGTTTTTCGTATTACATTTCGCACGAATTAGTCATCAATTGATCCTTCTTCCTTTACACCAACTACACCACAATAGCATAATGTACATCGTATAATTACGAACCGTAACAGGCCATTCCTCGCCACTTTAGCTTCGCGTAATCTTGCGATTAAACGCGAATATCGCTTTAAGCAAAATGCGGTGTTTAATCCTCGCGCAATCCGCATGTACCTTCCGGGCACAGACAACAACGTCGAGCGTTGCGGTTCAGACGCGTTCAAAACATTAACACGTTAAACTCGACGAGGATTAACGATCTGGAAACAACCGACGCGCGCAAAAATCGTCGCCGAACTTTCGAGAAGTTACCGTTGAAACCGTCCGTTCTCCCTCCACAGATATTACAGTCTCAGTTGGCGTCCGCGCCCGACAGCGGAACGTTGCTCGGCGACGAGGCTTTGGATGGTTCTGGAAGCGGCGATCGGCCTATATGGAGGAAGAAAGGGAAAGACGAGGACATCGATAATGATGACGAGGACGTGCGCGGTTACGAGCACGACGACGAGGAGGCGTCCGGATCCGGAATGGGACCCACTACACCCGGTAAAAACGATTCGAAATTTCCAAAAATTTGTGCTTTCCTTTTTTTTTTTTTTTTTTTTAAGAATGCAAGACGATCGTCGAAATATATGATTTATCTTGTTTTAATTGTTTCATCAAGTGTGTTGAATTCAAAAGTACAATTGAAAGAATCAAAAATCTCTTTTCAATTATACTTGTGAATTATACTTGCGTTTTATTATTATTTCGAGAACAATTTTTATGAGAGAAAATATTATTATACGTTAATTACAGATCCGATGGTGAAGACGAATCACGAGAATCCAGTGACGGCCGGCGCTGGATCGAGCGTCGTCCTGTTCTCGTCCATCGCCGTTTCGATGGCGATTGGCTGTTGTGCACCGTTGTTGATTGCTTAAAAGTTGCGGAGCGTAAAGACGTGGAAAGAAGGGAACGATTCGTTTCTCGACTCGTAGCCGCGACCTAGAATAACACGTAGAGAAAGAGAGAGAGAGAGAGAGAGAGAGAGAGAGAGAGAGAGAGAGAGAGAGTAGTGTGTCG